AACATTACACGCTCAGGTATCTTGCACCTCCAAACTGCTCGCAGGCAGATGTAAGATGAAAGACCCTGAACCCACCAGGCCTATACATTATACCTCTTCGGTTGGGCTAGCCCCATACTACACAGAAACGTCAACCGAGACGTCTCTGGTGCCAGCTTTGCAGCTGGCCATAGCAGTAGTCGAAACATGAAGCAAATCAATGTGTGTGTGTCTGTTGATTAAGTGGTGTGTAGCTAAAAACATTCTCACATGACCTCTAGTAACATGTCGTGATATTAAACATAAGAACATATTATGGCTAAGGCTACAGTTATACACGTCATAATAATAATATTAAACATCCTGTCTGCTGACAGTCATCAACTCTTCTTTCTAGTTATCCTTGACCAGATGTACCCTGTAGAAACTCATAAGCATGTCTAAGCATTTAACAGTCTTAACTAGACATCCTATCTCTACTAAACATTTCTAATACATAAAGTATCTATCCAATATCTATCTGACTAAAAATACCTAACACTCCACAGGAACAAGAGAGCTGAGACCAGTGAAGTCAGATCATGATTCAGATGTTTGTTTCTTCAGGGTCGACCATGGAGGATTAACTATTAGCTGCAGTTTACTGAATGAAGTACAGTACAATGAGGATTTGTTTCAGCGATTCACTCAGGGAGGAAAGCAAAAATCTAAGGAGCCAGTGTATGTTCAAAGAAGCACTGAGGAATATAAACAACATACAATAGTACAGAAATGGGCGTGGCCCACAGTTACGTAAGTTGAACAAAAGAATACAGGCTAATTCAGTGTTTGTTCTATGGCTCACAGTTTCTGTGTGCACATCTTGTCAAGACTTTCACTCTATCCAACATTATTTATTCTTCACTTTGCATGCACTCTGAGGACATTCCCCAACTACAGCTTGGCAGTTTTCTGTCTACGGTGAAGATGTGCAACAAGACCTTCATATATTTTGAAAAGATAATCAGGTAGAAATATCACATTTGGAAGCTTTAGCTACAACACAAACCTGGTGAAAACTGATGGTCTGAGCCAAAACTTGTTGAATAACAAATAACTAAATATCAAAGACCAATACCATTCATAGAGTTTTAAGTTATTGTGAGTTGAGGGTTTCTGCTAAGATGTTAATAAATGAAGAGAGCATCAGCTGCTACTGTGTTGTATCTTGTTCTCTCAGTCAGACGCCTGTGAACCTGAACTGGGCCCAGACACAGCACACAAAGCCCTCAGGGGTCAACAACAGAGGGGTGACTGTGAGAGAGGAGCAGCCAGTGACTTTTGGCCCCAGGTTTTGTGTAGGGCTGGTCTGACTGGTTGCTGTTACTGGGAGGTCGAGTGGAGAGGAGATGTTCACGTAGCAGTGACGTACAAAGGAATCAGGAGGAGAGGAGACGGCAAAGAGTGCAAGTTTGTGAGGAACGATCAGTCCTGGTTCCTGAGCTGCTCTGATGGTAGCTACTCTGTCTGGGACAGTAACAGAGAAATCAAACTCCCTCCCACCTCATCCTCTGTGTCTCACAGGATAGCAGTATATGTGGACCACCCTGCCGGCGCTCTGCCCTTCTACAGGCCGGTCCACCTCCAGACTTTCCGGTGCACATTCACTGAACTTCTCCATCCTGCATTTAGACTTGGGTTCCTCTTTGTCTGGTTAAGGCTCAGATCTGGTTTCTCACTGTGTTCTCCTACAGGGTGCACAGAGACAAGTGTGTGAGAGTCCGTGGACAGAAAGATAGTGAATGGAAACAGCTGCAAAAATGGCCACAACACACAGAGAAGCAGCTGAGTCTCTCTGAAGATTAGTTTGTCTGATTTCATAACACTGATGTGTTACATGACGACAAAATGATCTGCAGAGATGAAACAACAAGACGTCTAAGCAAGTTGATCCACAAACAAATGTCAGTTATATTAGTTTTTTTTTTTTTTTATAAAGCAAGATAAGAATTTTGAGACTTTTGTGATTGTAGTTACATGTTGTTAGGCTTTGGGCTGTTTCACTATTGTTGTTTTCCTGTCTTGAAATTAAATATAATGCAGCCCTAATAAGACGTAACAAGCAGCAGACTGGCAGGAATACTAAACTGGTACAGTTTGGTACAGTTTAAGAAGCCGCTCTCTGTGTCTCAAGGCTTAATATGAAAGAGTCTGATGCATTTCCCAAGGTCTTAAGGCCTGTGCAGACAGAACTGTCTACAGCTTAAACATGCACATGCGTGTGCTTTTCACACTGGGCCTTTGCTAAAGCTGGGGCTGAGGATGTGTGCAGTAAATGTAGCAGCTTTTCATGGGTGAAGCTTTGGCCTCACCTGGTGGAGAAAAGATATTCAGCTTTATGGGAACTCAAATCTTACATCCACTGCTTTCAGAAACAACAAACCTGATTCTAGTCTGTAAAAGTTATATGAGCTGTGAATTACAATAATGACTTCATGCAAGAAGGGAATAAAATTAACAAGAAAAAATATTGATACATATACACACTATATACCAATATACACTCTATCAGTAGTATCAATATTTGTTCCGTTATATTTCCCAGACAGTTTTTTGTTTATTTGTTTTTTACAGAGAACCTGGCAGCAATTAACACACTGTGTCTGACACACACACGCACACACAGTAGGGTGTGCACGGGCTGTAGGGGTTTCAAGAGGACGTTTTACTTCCACTCCATGTCCTACAGCGAAAACAGACATCGCTGTTCATGAAATCACTGTGATTATTTATATTTATTTGAACTTTTATCGAGGATCAACTGTGCATGTTTGTTCTGCCACATTTCAAAAGAAAATATTGTTTCACTGAAGCAACTTTACTTAAAATATCGGATGAATTAAACTATATCACCAAATTTCCTTTTGTTTGTTTGTTTTTCAGATTTACTACTTCATCTGATCTGAGAGGATGAAAATCCTCAAAACTGAAAAAGTCTTTGATATAAGACTGAAACTGAACTTTTTTCTCTTTTTTGAAAACTTGTGTATGTTTTACTACTAAAACAGGGAAAGCAAGAGTGTAGGTAATAACAATAATAATGCTCCTACTTCTTAATACCAGTGCTGCCAAGGTAAGACTCAGTCACGGGCAGATCAGTGTGCTGACTGCTGGTCTGCTGGATGAACTGCTGCAGGTCACACTGTCTCAGCTCCTTATTAAGCTCCTCAATCACCTCCCATTTGTCCTAAAGGATGCAGGGAATATTATATTACCACCAACAAGTACTGTCTGTGTGTCCAAAGTAATGATTATCCCTTCTCCCTCTGGGCCACAGAGCTCTGCTGGTCCAGACACCAGTAAACCCACCAGTGACCACACTGCTGCACTGGCTGACATGTTCCTCCATCACCATGAACACACACTGGAGTTTATTCTTACTCAGTTCCACATAGACTGTCCTGCTGCCACAGAGACCAAAGGTGGATTCATCCCCAACAAATGCACCGTTTCTTCCTGTTTGACTAATGTTTGCTAAAAACTGCAATAACTGGTTGTTTTACAAAATCACTGTGCCTTTTGATAAAACAAAACTATATATCTGTGACAGTTTTAAGGCTTTATATCCTCAGTAGGAGCCACTAGGCTTGGTGCTACAGAACTCTCTCTTACAAAAAGACTGACAAGTCAGTCTGGGCCTTTTCATGGGATTTGTTAAGAGTAACAAAGTGAAAATCACAGTGAAATGCATAGTGACTGTTACTGACATATGTTGTAAATATATACCACCCAAATTAGTAAGGAACTGGGGTGGCTCAGTAGTGCTAGCACCGTCACCTCACAGCTAGAAAGTTCTGGGTCTGAACTGCATTGGTTCTCTCCGGGTACTCCGGCTTCCTCCCACAGTCCAAACACATGCAGCTTAGGTTGACTGGCAACTCTAAACTGTCTGTAGGTGTGAGGGAGAGTGATTGTCTGTCTCTGTGTGTCAGCCTTTTGATAGAATGGCCACCTGTCCAGGCTCCAGGCCCACCACAAACCTTTACAGCAGCAAAGTTGTGTGTCACATTATTTCCGGGTTGCAAGCGAGAGCAGACATCTTTACTGCTCCTCTTGTCTGTTCTACGATTTTTCCCATCTTCTACATTTTCAAGTCTTTGAACAAATTCTACAACTATTAAAATGCCTCCAAGAGGGAAAAGAGCTAATAAATCAGAAGCGAATGAGGATGTTGAAGCAGAAGAGGATTATATTTCAGCGGCGCAAGTAACAGAGATGTTGAGTCAGCAGAAGCAGATGTACACCGCACTGTTGAGCCAACAACAAGACAACTTCAAAGGTTTTGTGCAACTACTTATGGAGACAAATAACAAGAGACTCGACGACATGACCAGAGAAATACAGGAGATAAAAACGAGTTTGCAGTTTACCCAGCGAGATGTGGATGTGATTAAAGCAGCCATGGGTGAACAGAAAATACAAACCAAGGAAACAAGGGATGATGTCTACAAAACTTGTGAGAGTCTAATAGCCATAACGGATAAAATGGAGCATTTGGAAGTACAGTCCAAGCGAAAAAACCTGATCTTCGAGGGAATCAAGGAGTCAGCTGGAGAAAGCTGGACGGAAGCAGAATGTAAGGTGAAGGAAATATTAAAGAAGAAACTGCAAATTCATCAAGAAATTGAGATGGAGCGAGCTCACAGAGTCGGGAAACCTTCTGAGCGGGGGCCGAGGGCGGTGATGGTAAAGTTGATGAAAGAGAAAGATAAGGCACACATACTGCAACAAGCAAAGAAGCTTAAAGGATCTAACATTTATATAAATGAAGATTACACCGAGTCTGTGAGGAAGAGAAGAAGGGAGTTGATACCGATGTTAAGGGAGGCCAGGGCGAGGGGAGACATCGCGTTCCTGCGGTATGACCGACTAGTGACCCGACCTCGGAACCAGAATCCAGGACCTATGACCAGCACGCCGAGGACCAGTAGGCCGAGACAAGGAGAGTATGAAGGGGTCGCTGGACCCTCAGCTGTATGAAGAAACACGCAGGTATATTGATATCTGCGAGGGCAGATGAGCATTGGAACTAACAATTAGCAGGAACCAACAACAAGCATGACCCACGTACCCTGAAAAAAACTTTTTTAAGAACTCTGAAAATAACTGCAAGTATTACACGGATGAGCAGTTTAACAGCAATGTCAAGACTGAAAACAAATTATCATTAATTCACTTCAATAGCAGAAGTTTATACGCAAACTTTCAGAGTATAAAACATGATCTTAGTAGTCTGACACATTCTTTTAATATAATTGCTATTTCTGAAACATGGATTAATAATGTAAGGGGAATGGATTTTGACCTTGATGGC